GAATCGCGGTCGGAGCTCCGTATAGGAGCCACGTTAGAACGAGGTTGGCGATTGAGACGAAAGTCGCATGTGCTCTTGCTGTAAAAGAAACACCGACTATAACTTACTCAGCCACATCGGCGTGTATTGGAAAAAAATAACTGTAGGCGCGGCATGTTGACGCTCATATTTCTTATACTTCCGAACCCCCAACCACACCTCACCTCAACTCTCCACATAAGGAGGCACAGCGAATGACGAAATGCAGCTTGAGATACTGCTCCCGAGGGAACGCGCATTTTGGCCTCCCCCTTCCTTTTGGTAGGGTGAGGTTAAATCGGTAGGGAAGCCTTCCACTACATTCTGCCCGCCCCCCTTGCACAAGAAAAACACGAAGACACACACGGGGTGCTTCTTGTGTATTATTACCTTGCGCTACCATTGTTATTCTAATATGCCATACCAACAAGCCCGCCTTGTAACATCGCTCCAAGAAGTAACACTGACTCGCTTGTTTTCTCGAAGACAAAATAGAAACTTCTCTCTTTCTTTCTTTCTTTCTTTCTTTCTTTCTTTCTTTCTTTCTTTCTTTCTTTCTTTCTTTCTTTCTTTCTTTCTTTCTTTCTTTCTTTCTTTCTTTCTTCTTCGTTTTGTCACTTGCAGCCCTACATAGCAAAACCCATGGGCTTTGTAACGTGTGCACTGTGCACTAGGCCACTTGGCTGATCTTTTTCGTTTATCTAAAATGCACCCCTCTGCGCTCACCAGCTGAGCCGAAAGGAATCACCACCTGTTCTCGGTCCATCTCCTTCTGATTGCCCGTTTTCTCTGCGCCCTTTTACTCCGCGATACCCTTTTACGTTCACCGTCCAATAGCGATGACACACGCACGGAGAAAACCCTGTAGATGCACCGCTTGGCAGTGGACCCTGTTTACCATCTAAGAAAATAGCACTTGTTGAGAAAAGACGCAAGAAGACAAGCGCTTCTTTTTGCACTCTTGTTCAACCAGCGCTATGTTCTACGACAGTAACGTACCGACGAGCGCAAATTTTATTCGCCCTGTTTGCGATTCCTACAAGTACACGGAGCCCTTGAAGCGCAACTTTAGTTAGTACAGCACGACAAATCGACGGAGCACTCAAAAAGAGTTCAGGCGCAAAATAGCGCTTTTATGTGGGTGACTACTTCGCGTGTGTCCAGTTGACTTGTTGCGCTATAGAAACTACATTCAGGTATACCAACACGCCTATTCTTCAACATTACCCTGAAGCACATAGCTTTCGTTTCCCCCTCCAAGCACGAGCATCAGCGCATTATTCACCGCACGTCGGTGTCCGGAACTGTTCCCCGCACTGTCGGCGACGTTGTTTTCGCCCCGTCTTCAGGTTCATCGCTCTGTTTTTTTCACCGCTTGTCGCTGGAAGTGCGGTGGTGGGAACGTGATTCGCATGCGATGGTCCAGCTCTGGAAGGCAGGCCGCCATTGCCGCCGACGGAGCGCAGTGCACAAGTAAAACAAAAATGATGCCGTTTTCTTCTCCGTCCCAAGAGCGAAAGGAAAGGATAAGAATAAAGAAAAGCCGCAATGCCCGTTTTACGGTGTAACTGTGCAGCCCTGTGGGCTCTGGCGGTCGCCTCATCTGGCGGTTTTCTCGCTACGCTTACGACGCTCGGCCGCTGACCCGGGGGTCACGTGTTTGTTCCTGGCCGCGAAGGTGGCATTTCGCTTGCTACTACATGCTCGTGTAGTGTGCCGTGGGAGCGCACGTTCAAGTACACCACGTGGTGGAACTTTCAAGAGCCTTCAACAGTGGCACGTCTCATAATCATATCGTGGTTTTGGCACCTAAAACCGCATTTATTAGTGTTGTTCTTATTATCTTTACGCTTAACCGTTCGTTTATACCACAAAATACAAGCTATACTCTCTGCAATAAGTGGAAAACAAGGACGCTAGCTCACGAACGTCCAACAATGTACCTTTGATCCCGTCCCTACTGCGTGCCTCCGCCTACAGAACTCCCTAAGAAAAAACCTCTAACCCATGATTTCCCAAGCTGGATTTCGTGGAAGCTATAGATAATTCGTAGGCCCCTTTTAGGAGTGCCACGAGCCACTGGTCAATTTATTTCTACTTCCACACTCACCAAGTCACTTAGCCGGCGTACCCGAGGTGCAATCGACCTTAAGAACTTCCATCACTTACGTCCACTTGTTAATGCAGGAAACTCGAGTACAGTTGAAAATTTTTCTGCATACCCTGGCTTTCAAATTCATCGCACGTGAATATAAGAATGCCTGCAGTAGGGGAGAAGGAAAGGGGTTTCTTGGCACTCAATGAAGCTTAGCAGGGTAGCATTTTCGAGAACCACTGCTCTACCTCATGGGGCATTTTTTCCAACTCCTCAACTTTCCCGCCTCTCTTCGAAGTCTGTACTGCTCAGCTAAAAGCAGCAAAAATAACCACAGCTCATCCAACTGGCTCGAAGAGTTGTGCAAGGCAGCTACCCCGCATGAACTGATATGCCTTTTTACCGACGAAGACAGGTCTTCATTTGTGGAATGAAAGCGTTCCCGCTGCAACTCTCTCTCTCTCTCTCTCTCTCTCTCTGTTTCTTTCTCGCTTGCTGGCTCGTTTTTTTTTCTTTTATCGTCAACGAGCACGTATGAAAAAGATACTCGTAAGAAGACAAAGTGCCATTACATTGATCCTGCTGACCCGCAGGTCGCGGGATTGAATCCCGGCGACGGCGGCTGCATTTCCGATGAAGGCGGAAATGCTGTAGGCCCGTGTGCACAGATTTGGGTGCACGTTAAAGAACCCCAGGTGGTCGAAATTTCCGGAGCCCTCCTCTAAGGGGTCTCTCATAATCATTCGTTGGTTTCGGGAAGTTAAACCGCACATATCAATCAATCAATTGGATTGACCATTTTTCAGCATGCCTCTAGATGACGCCACGAATAGATTAAAAAAAGAATTATTTATCACTGAGCGTTCGCGCATCTTTTTCGAAACGCGAGGTGTTCTTGATATTATCAGCCGCAGTTTGTGGCCAGTGAAGAGAAATGAATTTTCGGCGAGTGTTGGTCGCGAAATGACGTAAAAGCAAGGGTGTAACGTTTCATAAATATTTAGATAATTTCACACGTGTCCGGCTGGTCAAGGCCACATATCACTGCTGAAATGCCGAACAGCATTACATATTGCCACTCGCGTTTATCGACCCATTTTTATGTATTCGAGTTACATCCCCAAATGCTGACAGCAAAGCTCGGCGCAGACCACGTCGCGGTCTTTGGAAAGTCTTACGAATGTCTGAAATCACTCCGTTAAGATTACGCCTAGTACGAGAATAGTCAAGTTTATTTTAGAACTTTCCCAAGCACCAGCGATCACTCTATAGAAACTTTGAGGCCGCATGCATAAATGTCGACGCTGCTTACCGCAGATCAGTTTATCGACGGTCAACGCTCTGTTCACCAATATCGAAATACAGCGTTTATTGTTTACTGCAGCTTGTGCTTCCGTTAACCGGCCACAAGTTCGGTCATGTAAAAATTTAGACAGTGAATACGTTGAGGGCTGCTATCGTCAACGTCGCGAACCCCTGGCAATACTTTCTTTTTGGTTGCCCGTACGCATCTATGCAGCTTCGCGTTCAAAACACGTCTGTGTCACACAGAACTCAGCAGTGGACGCCTCCGAATTCAGTTAAGCTACTTAACTACATTGCAGTGCACGCAAACTTGCTCAAACGTGCGATATCTTAAATGCACGGCTAGCGGCGACTGTATTGGAACGAGGATAGCTATCCCGCTTACTCGCGAGCGGCTCGTATATGTAAATTTCGAGCTACTGCAGTGTGTGCATATATAGTCTGCGTGGTGTGCGTATAAATGCGTGTGAACGCATTAAATGTGAACTACGAAAGACAGACAAAAATTATGAAGTGCACTTCTGAGAGCATTTTTTTCCTTTAGTTTATTACGAGCGAGTAGTGTTATAGCATGAGAGGCTTTCGTGTATACAATGGCTTTCAGCCCACATATTATAATCTGACACTTGGGCTGCACGGGTCTCCACATGAAGTAGTGAGATCATGAAACGCCGGAAGTGCCAATCCAACTGAATTTGTGTGCATGCGTCTAACATAAAACTGTATGTTTAGTATTTTAAAGATTACAAAGCGAGAAAGTTAACAGGCCAATATGGTGGTACGGAAACTCATCCTTAAAGTTGCCCATAGTCTTCTCTCACAAAAAAAAAAAGAAATAGCATTCGAATGTGATTCATTCAAAGGAAGCCAACAGCATGTGACAAGCAAACTAATGTTGCCAAACAAAAGCTGTTGTGCAGCTGACAGGCTCTCGAATTTCTTGCGGGTGAATCGCAAGTCAACGAAGGATTTGTAGGATAACACGGTGCAGAAGAATGCTTACAAATAAGGGCAGCAAAAACACCAAAAGTACCCTACACGTTGTGCGTGATTTCATTCGTGATGCTCATTGGCTGTTGGCTCGTGCTTATTCGAAAGAATAAAAAAAACACAGAAGACAAACGTCAGTGTTGTTCATAATCTCCTTATCACATCATTTTATGCAAGGCCCCACGAGGAATTTACTGATGCTATGTTTGTCACGGATATGACGTTAGCAAAAAAAGTGCACTGTTTTTTTTTGGCAGCAGTGTGAGATGCCTTCTAATGCACTTTTGGTTTTCCTTTTCGGTCTGTCTCCTTAATCTCTTTTGATTTTTACAATAACACCCAGAAACGCGAGCGGCCGAAAGCGGCGCCCCCACGGGTTTGACGCAAGTATTGGTTGCAGCTCCGAGACGTCTGAGCATGCTAGTGTCGCGCTTTAATTCCCCTACCCTTTCCCCCCTTTATGCCGGATCGTCAATAAAGTTGTTTCACTCACTCACAACCAGCCTCTTGACTGAGTTCCGATGTCAACGTCGTGTTTCATCGTGGCCTGTCAGAAAGACATCTTGCGAATGTTTAGCCAGAAATGATCGTGATGGTCCACCTCGGTGGACCATCACAATCATTTGACTGGGGTGCTCGGCTGCTTGGCCAGAAGGTCACGGGTTAGACCGCGGCTATGGCGGTCACATTTCGAGGGAGGGGAAATAAATGGCAGAGACCCGTGTAGTATGCGATGTCAGTATACGTTAAAGAGCACAAGATGGTCAACACTTCTGAAGCCCTCCACAACGGCGTCTCTCATAATGATATCGTGTTTTGGGGATATAAAACACCATATATTATTAATAAGTGATCGTGATCATTCCAGACATGGCTACTGTTCTCCATTTTGGTCAGTGGCGTGCAAATTTATGCGCTTGTATTTCTTATCGTCCTCCGTGGATACACGTTTTCCTTTTGTGTTATGACCCATTTCTGCGAAGTAAAAAGCAACCGCCTTGTTTTTCGACAATTCTCGTAGACGTCCCCGCAAGAAATGTTTCTTGAACTTTCTAAAATTTAAAATCATGTATGCACAAGATGCGGAACGCGTACCTGCTTCAGTTGTCAGCTGCAGTCTTAGTTTCTAAAGGGCACCAGCAAAATCAGGAAACTCTTCTCGTGGTTCTATACCACGATGCACATACATCCTTGGCCACACTGCACGCTTCTATAGTGCTGCACGCGGAGGCAGAGTGTAATCGCGGTTCTTTTCCATCAGAACGGGACATCACGTTTCCCTCCATCTTTCTGTGCAGCCTTCCTTCCACTTTCTGAACTCATTTTTCTTTTGTTTCCTTTCCTTCTATACGGGATCTCCGCCGCTTTGCTTCACAATTTTTCTCGTTTTTCTTCCGTATCACTTTGCGGGCGGTGTGGTGATGGCGTTCCGCGATATGACCGCGTCCACGCGCGCGCTCCTTTTTGATGTACGAACGTGACCGCGCTGCGAATGGCGGGATAATGAAGGACGACTGCCAACAGGTATGTGCGTTGATTATATTCGGCGCCGAAATTAATGAGCCTTCTGGGAGGCTCCCGTGCGTGTTTTTTTAAACGCGCTCGCGGGGAAAATTGGAAGGTTCGAAGGAGACCGAAGTTATGCGAGCGGGAAAGGCGTAGAAGTGAAACGCTACGCAAGAAAACAAGAAGACTGCAGATAAAATGCCTGCAGTGAGTGAAAAACGCATAAATGTCTGGCAAGCCTGAAGGGGATATAAATGCTTCACACTCAGCGGCTTGTTAAAAGCCGCGGTAAAATTATCAAATACCGAGATCGGGAACGTTATGTGCAATGAAAGTGAAATGAATGTCAGAATGTGTCCAATTCGCGATTGCAATAATGTCGATATAAATATAGGCAGTAGAGGGAACTCTTTAGGTAGTACACGCTCATAAGAGCCAGTCCGAATTGAAACGTGCTCAAGGCATGAGCTTAGATCTGGTACGTGCAGTTTTGCAGATGTCCTGCAATCCTTTGATGCCTCTGCAGCCTGGCTTCATGCTGTATGTACGTTAGCGTTTCGATGAAGCGATGCTATCAACAGGAACGCCAACGCTAACTTCTTGCTAGAGCAGCCAGAGCAGTTCTTCTCGAATGGGGTACCTTGGAGTCTAAGAACAGTGGATGCATGGCCTTATAAAGAGAAGACGCAAATAGTGCGATTGTCTTTTTGAGCTGAGAGATGATTAAGAATACCAGAGTCGTGATATCGATAGCGGACCAGCGTTTCTGAGCCAGCATTTAAAAGAGTGTGTCAATGAACGAAGAGTTGCATTTTAACGCTGCGCGCCCTTCCAACCTGCAGGAAATGACATTACCGTAAGAATAATACGAGAGTTGAGGCACTTAATTTCAATGTTCCCAAGTTTTAAAGGCGGATGGAAGTGCTGCTTGGAGGGAGCTCATTACAATCTGTTCCACATCTCGACGGTAGCGCATACTTTGTGGAATTCGGAAGGGCACCAGTGTTCCTGCTTATCAGCAGCCTCGTATTGCTGATTGCCTGCAACTGGGCGAAAAGCGAAAAAACCTCGGATGAACAGCAGTGATACCGGGAAGATACTAAGAGACACTTCGACCCCTTCCACAACACGCAGATGTGCCATACACAACTTAGAGACTTGATACTCGTCATAAAAAGCCTTTCAGCGAAGTGAGACGTTTGTACGTGGCACCGTATCGCGTGGTGCACACTGCAGTGCAACAAGGTGTTCTCAAGAGGGTTGGTTACGTCACCGATGACGGTGTGCTAGAGTATGCAGCCATTGGGAACGTCATGCAGCCGGAGTCACGGGTTTTTGGGAGTCGTAATCGACCGAAACCTGTCTTAAACCCACACGTAAACTATACGCGAAAAAGCGACTGACCGCCATTTGTCACTTGTTCAGGTTTCTTGCTGGGAAAAGTTGGGGGAATGTCTGTCGAGTCTATGTTACAGCTGTACAAGGTATTATTTATTGGATTCCTGCGGTACAGCCTACCTGTTATATCTAACACGTGCAAAACGAACCTGCGCGCAATCCAAAATATTCAAGCCCAGGCGCTTAGTATATGACTTGGTTTGCCCCGCTGCGCATCGACAGGTGAAACAATTGCCATTGCACAGCACTACTCGATCATGGCTACTCGATCATGACGCACAACATGGGACTCGCTCGCTGGATTCCGTGCTGACCGGTTGTGCCCTCGCGATCTCCGACGACAGCGCAGCTCTGGCCGACTGGGTTGGTCCTGCGCCACCTCTTGCCGCCGGTTCCCTACGACGACGTCAGCGCAGCTTTGACCGACCGGATTAGCCCTACGCGGTTTCCTGTCGCCGACAAGAGCTCTCGCAAGTGGTGCCCCGTCCTCGGACTCCCGTGACTGTGTTTCCATCTTTCCTATCACTCCTATCTCTCTTATGTCGTCGCTCGCTGTCCTAGTGCATCTCTCTCTATATATATATACCTTTAATCCTATCCTTTTAATCCCTCCTCACCCCCACCCCTTGTGAGCTACTGTTGAGGTGTCACACGCTGATGCAGACAATTACGGGGCTCACTTTTCTTTTCTTTTCCCTCTCATAACCACAATGTGACGCACATCACCATTGAAATGATGCGTAAGTACCTAAGGCAACATGCTAGGAATAATTCCCACCAATTGGCAACCCTCGCTACTGAGAGGCCCCGCACGAAATTTAGTGCAATTGTCTGTGCACATCGTGTGTCGTTTACGTCAGGTTTTACGCCTGCTGAGAAACTGGTGTCTCCTGCGTGGTGCTTGACAATTCCGCAAGTACGTCTTTCAATTCCAGGAATACAGAAAAAATTCAAATTAGCCTTCATCAGCCCTAAAACACCTGTGCTTGAACTTCCTCCACGAAATTTACAATAACCACGTGCACATATACACCGATGGTTTGGCCACAGCGTCTGGTTCTGGTGGTGTGGTGGTGATTCCAGCTAGAGGAATCACTCTGCGAAACAAGCTGTCTCACGTCACTACGTCTACGGCGGCAGAACTTGCGGCTTTGCGTGGCGCCCTAGAGTAAATCAAATGCCAGAGACCGAGTAAATGGGCTATGCTTTCCGACTCGAAACCGGCCCTACAGAGCATGCAGTGAGTCCTTCGACGAAGTTGCCATGAACAGTTAACTTACGAGGTTGTCAAGCTTCTCCAACACGTCACAGAAACAGGCCACGAGGTCAAGTTTCATTGGCTACCTGGCCATTGTGGGATCAGTGGCAATGATTCCGCAGATAACGCGGCTTGCACATCGCACCAAGAAGAGCACGCCTTTCCAATTCCTTTGTCAAGGAATGACGCTGCAAAGCAACTTAGTCACCTGGCACGTAGTCTGTGTCTGCTGGAGTGGAACACCCCGAGCATAAGACATACGAGACTCTACCAAATAAACCCTCGGCAGGAACTTCAACCTTTATCCGGAATTCGCCGAATTGAAGCTTCGCTTCTTTGTCGCCTTTGGTTGGAGGTTGCCTTCCCAAAAGCATATACAACCCTCATTGGATTGACCGACAATGCGGAATGTGACGTCTGCTGCACCAAAGAAGACATCGACCATCTGATATGCCATTGCCCTCGATTTGCCTCTGAAAGACAGAAGCTTTCGGACGCATTGCGACAATGGACGATCGGCCACTCTTTATGCAGATGCTACTAGAACACCGTCCTCGCCTTTTGCCGGCTTAAAAAGTAGTCAAAGCTGTCTTGTGCTTTTTGAGGACAACAGGCCTGCGTGACCACCTTTAACTTTTGTGTAGTACCACCACTGCATACGCGTCAGCCCATTGACTGACAATATTTTTTCCCCTCTTGCTCTTCTCTTTCCTCTCCCTCTCATCTTTATGCCCCCTTCCCATTCCCCCAGCGTAGGGTAGCAAACCAGGCATGTGCCTGGTTAACCTCCCTGCCTTCTCTCTTGTTGTTCATCTCCCCCCCCCCCCCCCCCCCCCCCCGTTATGTATAATTTTATGCAGGTACGAGTCTTCAAAGAGGGAGAATGCACGTGATCGTTCTGAAGAAGTTAGGGAGGGTCTGAAAGAAGACGAGGAACATGGTGGCGTTCGGATTAAAGAACATAACTGACACCACAGCCTCACCCAGCTGTGTATTTATTACATTCTGATGTAGTGGGCCATGGATGGGGCTTGTCCTATTGCTGTGGCTCTAGGAGTTCCTGCACACACAGATAGACGAACTTGGGCCTCACTTCGACGTGCACATCCTTGCTGTAAAAAGAAGCATGCTCGACCAGCCGCAATGCTCATTCCACCGCACGTCCCCTTCCTATTCACCCTGCTTTTCATCAAGCGGCGACAATCCATCATCCGTCTTAACGCATACCTTGATCTCGCCGCCGCCTCCTGCGGCAAGACTCGTCCACTGCTTCATTCATTTCTTTACCCGCGCAGACTTAAATTAAGCGCGGTCTTTTGCGAGACACGGTGCGAGATATACATCCCGGAGGATGAGTCGAGGAATCCACTTAGGTCGTCGGCATCGTTGCCTCCTCGGTGAACAGTGCGACCTGATGAGCTCCTCGGTGTATATTTAGAGAGCGCAGATGAGTTATCACCTCATCACCGGACGAGTGCCGCGCCGGGTGCGCAAAGGACT